GAGATATCTTAATTCTCACCATACAAAAAATAGCCGGTATGTTAAATTGATCACACTCTTACAAGAATACACGTTTACCATATTGCATAAATCCAAAGTTCACAACAAAGTGGTTGGTTCCTTGACTCGTCAATTGCTACTCAAAATATTGTCTCCCACACTAGTAGATTTGAATCTCTTGAGGACCAGAACACTACTAATCCATACATTGATCATAGATGTACGTCTTGGCAGTCCATAGTTGCTGGGATCTCCCAATCTTGGGGGCGATCCCGCTCCGGAACTTGATTTGGCACTCCATAAGAGGTATCTCCAAGGGTTCTCGATTTTTAAATTTCATTTAGGGATCTCAATCCCTACTATTAGGGATCTCAATCCCCACTATTAGGAATCTCAATTCCCACCTTAAAGACCGAGATAACAACCAAATTGTTTGTAAATAAAGTCAACCATGTATATATAGTCCCATACTATACATGCTTTTTAAGGTTTGGAGCAAGATCCCCATGATCAGATCAAGATCCCAAAACGTTAGGATCTCGATCCCTAACAAATGCATTGTACAGACTGCACTCACACCGATAGGGATCTTCTAGCCTCTCACGATCCCTCACTCCTAATCCCAAAGCCCCTCCCAGTCCCATTCACGAACCCAACAACTATGTGTCAGTCTAATGGTATAGATCCTACTCATAGAATTATTCTTCAAGATGGATTTTTCTATCATGAAATTCTATTGTGTATACTAGAGAGTTCTCTTCACTAGAACATCATTTGAGTTGCATAGTGGGGGTCCTGTCGGATATTTTGGTAAAGAGACTATTACATTAGTGAAGGACAAGGATTTCTGGCTTAGTTGAGGCGTGACGTGAAGCAATATGCGGAAGAAATCGAAAATATAAAAAATTCATCGATCTTTCGATAAATCACAAAAGAGTAGTTTTTTGAGAGGTTTTTCTCACCCTAAAGGCCACGGATTTTCTATTGGGTTAGAATACCCCCTTAAACCCTTTTCCCCGCTTTTTATGGGGAAAAAATTACATATTTTGCAAGGGTTTTTTTCTGCCGCCCACAAGTTGTCACGGGCAGCGCCTAGGCGGGCACCAAGACAATAGCGCCTAGGCGGGCGCCCAGAAGCAAAAACGCATAATGCCCCCACCCAAACTGCGCCTAGGCATTTTAAAAAGTTTTCGCCTAGGTGGTCGGGCGGCTGAATTTTCGAACAATGCCTAGAACCACTACCAGATATACTGCCATGTTTGTAGCAGTGGACTATTTTTTTAAGATGCTCTATTTCATTCCTTGTCAAATGACCTCTATACTAGATTGATCGTATCTAATCGAAATAATAGATTCCTGAGTCATTTTTTGGATAACACCATGGTCAAAGTAGATACAACTCTACAATTCAGCAAAGCATATCTCCTTAAAACTGATGGGCAGACTGAAGTGGTCAGCAGTAGTTTAGAAAATTTGTTGAGGTATCTTATAGGTGAGAGGCTCAGCAAGTGGGATATGAGTCTTTCTCAAGAAGAATTTGCCCATAATAGCTTGGTAAACAGATCAATTGAGAAAATCCCTTTGTAATAGTGTATGGCCACTCCATTCCTGATATATCAGACCATGTTCCATTACCTTAAATGTGGAGAAGAGTCGAAGCCAACGACTATGCTCAATACATCCAAGAAGTACAGAAGAAAATCATCGACAGATTGAGAGCCAACTCCGTTAAGGAGGCTGCAAATGAGCATCAAATCGACCAATAATTTTCAGTAGGTGACTCTGTCATGGTAGATTTGAGGCACGAGAAGTTCCCAACATTTACCTACAACAAGTTATGTCAACAAATATTAGGGCTATGCCATATTCCCAATAAGCTAGGAGACAATGCTATCTCCTAGACCTTCTTGAGAACCTTCACATCTCGTTGATCTTTAATATTGCCAATCTCTGTAAGTTTTAAGGAGATCCACCTGTACTTTTAGATGCTAATTCCCTGGAGATCGTAGAGTTACCAAGAGCTACTAAGGACGAGATATAGGATGTGGTGTATATTCAGACCATTGATACACAATGTGGTTCATACAATAGACACTTGGTTCATTGATAAGATCACTCATTGCTGATTCTTCATCGATTGATGATATTATGGAGGAGCCGGAAGAATCTTTATCAGCGTTGCATGGAGGAATACTCGATAGGATCGAGTTCTTCCAACCTAGGGAGGATTGTTTTACGTAAGGTTATTTATGTCTTTTAGACTTGTAGAGAGTTCGTGGTATAGCCTTTTATTATTTGACTTCATTTAGGGTTATTAAGAATATTTCTGAATAATCCGTATAAATGGGGAGAGAGGAACCTCTAGCCCCTTGGTACTTAAACTTTTAAAATTTGGATAAAGGAAAAAAAAACCCAAAAAGGGCTTCTAGAATTATCTAACCGAAGGCCATAAAGAAGACACAGTAGCACCTCCCAAGGTCCTCTCCTTTCTAGGTATTCTTTAATTTCTTCTTTAGTCTCCCCCTACTATGTTCCTTTCCTTTCCTCCCTTTTCTTTCTCGAAATTCTTTTGTCCTTCCCTTTCTTTTTGTCCTTCTTCCCTTTTCTTTCCTTAAATTCTTTTATATTCTTTCTCATTTTTTTAGTTTTCTGTTTCTCCCTTATTTTCCCTATTTTCTTCTTCCTTGATATTTTTATTTTACCATAACCCTCAAAACAGAAAACTAACCCCAAAAAATAATCACAGCGAAAAAAATGCAAGTTTTTTCCACCTCAATTGGAAAATATTCTTGTCTTATTTGATTATGTTGGTAAATTGTTTGGATGTCTAATTTCATTGATTTGTCAAAAAAACCCTCTACCCCATCTCCTACTGAGGATTTTCTAAGACAAGAGGCGGGTCCAAAGTTCTTTCTTGGTAGAAGGAGAAGAAGAAGAACGCGGTTGCAGAGAATTGGGGGGAAGAATTGCAGGCCCTGCAGCGAAGGCTGCATAATCTTTCTCCCACTCTCGAGACAAGATCCTCCCTCTCACGCCACTTTCTCTCTCCTCTTTCCTTCATGCACAGTGAAAGTCAAGGTGTTAAATCCAACCCCCTTTCTCTCTGTGCTATCTCTGCGACTCTCTCTCTCTAAGTCTCTAGGAGGCAACAATGGCGTCACTCACCACCCCTCACTCTCTCCTCCAAAAACCCACCAAAGTTCTCAGCACTCTTTCTCTCTCTAAGAGATCTTCCTACTCTTTCAATGGTTGTTCTTCTGTGAAAACCCAGAAACCCCTTTCCATCACCTGCACCGCCATTTCCCCATCTTCTCTCTTACCCCACTTGAGCTTTCCAAACCCCACGAGAAAGAAAGCGTCTTCAACTTTGCTGCAGGGCCTGCAACTCTTCCCCCCAATGTTCTCAAGAAGGCCCAATCTGAGCTCTATATATGGGGAAAGTTGGGCATGAGTGTAATGGAGATGAGCCATAGAGGTAAGGATTTCCTCTCCATTAGTCAAAAAGTGGAATCAGATCCTAGGGAGCTCTTGAAAATATCAGAGAACTATGAAGTTTTATTCTTACAAGGTGGAGCAACCAGCCAATTCTCTGCAATCCCATTGAATCTCTGCAAACCTAGCGATAGAGGGGCAAAGGCTTTGTGATTGTCAAAGGCTTCACCATCATCCAAATCTAGAGAGAGAAACAAGGAAAGGGCTACACCATATCCAAATCTAGAGAGAGAAACAGGGGAAAGGAGAAGGCTAAAGGACGAGAGAACCAGTAGAGAGAGAAGGTTTATCAGTTGATGCTGCATTTCTAGAGAGCTTAGGGTTACAGAGAGGGGGAAGAGAGAGAAAGGGTGGGCATAAGAGAGAGAAGGCTCGCATTTTGAATGGGTGAGAGAAGGCTGCACTTTCATCCGAAAAAATTCAAGTCTGATTTGAATTTTTTTTTATCGTAACATTTGCCTTGATACTGCATAATTTTTTATTGCAATCTAATAATCTACTAAAATCTTGTGGTTGTCCAAACGGGTCAAATCTATTTCACAAGATTTTTGGATTGCAATCCAAAAATATTGCAATTTTGGGCACATCCAAATTGGCCCTTAAGCTTATTTCGACATCTAAATTTAAACCCTGATTTTTTACGTACCATTTAATTCATATCCCTAGAACTAGTTGTGAAGACCCTTCAGAATTAATCTAAAGTTATTATACACCTCTTCTTCTATCTAGGCTGTAGGCCATCTTTAAAGTTGATCAGAATTAATTTTATTTAGCGAATTTTATTTAAGGATAGATTTCAATCTCTTATGAATTCGAAATCTCGTCTCCCATGCATTAAAGCAAATTCTAATGGGTTATGTTAGGGTGCTCACACTACAGAGCAATTCATAACTGTACTCAACAAATTTTGATCACTTATATACACTTGTTACGTAATACAATATCTTTTTAGTAAGGGTACTTTTTGTCATTACGAGGGGTATGACATCATACACAAGGGATGGGACATCACCCACATGGAGCATTAAATGCCACTAGTGTGCTCCATATGGGTGATGTCACACCTCATGTGGATAATGTCACACTCGTCTTAATGACAAAAAATACATTTATTAACAAAATGCTCCATGTACAAAACAAGAGTATATAAAGGTCCAAAATTTGCTAAGTACAATTATAAAATGCTCTATAGTACAAGTACCCTAACAAAACCCAATTCTAATTTACATGTTGATTTACACAAGTTTGTTTAGTTAATTTTGTGGATGGTTACCTACTTAAACTATATATATTGAACCTTATTTGAATTTAAGGTGTTCTCCAAACATGATTGAGGGTCTTCTAAACAAAGGTTAATTAGTCACTAGGTCACATCAAGAAATATCCATATTAGCAGAGAAAAGATGAATGAAAACTGTTCCAAAAAAATTTTAGAATACTCGGTTGAAAAGCACCAAACTGCATATCATAAGATAAAAATAATGGACTAAGCAAGACTAAGGATATACCAGAAAGCACAATTCTCGAAACCGTTCATCAATGGAAGAAATTTGCCGCAAAATTCCTGATCTCGTAATACCATCTACATTCTCAATGGAAATATCACATTCAATTCCAGTTCTGCAATCCTTAAACTTTAGAACCGGAACTCTAGCTCTCAAGACTGGACTGACACCTGAAACCAATCCTCTACCTGCAAGCAGGAAAAGTACAAATGAACGACCACAAACAAAATTGGAAGACAATATTCATTTCATTAAACACTTAAATTTTTATGGAAACAGATTCCACGCAATATGAATCGTCAAAGGCAATCTAGTGAATTCCATAATTTAAATGGTGAAGTGACAAGAAACATTAGCTCACAATTGTGCAAAAGTAAATTAGTTAATAAATCAATATAATTTAGGAAAGAACTAAAAACATTATTAGTCATAAATGTTCTTCGTCATCAATATTTTTTGATAATTGAAAATTCTCCTACTTTTTTATTTATAATCTAGAAGAAGTGCAACTCCTCCCATCCTTCCATCACTAAACCACTGATTCCAGAATCCTCAGGACAGTGGAATGGGAATAAAACATTCTCAGAAGTTTGAGAAGTATAACATAAAAGGCCTAAAATTGGGAGGTGTTGCACTTGTTCTAGATTAAAAAAAATCATGAAATAAATACTTTAAAAAAAGTAATAGATTAACGAGAATATATTTCAAAAGAAATTACGACTACCTTCTGAATGATTGTTTTGTAACTGGGAATGTCTTGGGCATAACTACTCTCCAATGAAGTAACATATAAAATTTGTTGAATATATACTATTTTTTTCAAAAAGAGCGACTTTCGATTCTTGGGTCGATAATCCAAGAAAATAGAGAGATTGAGGAAGAGGTCGCCCATAGAATTAGAGCTGGGTGGGCGAAGTGGAGATGCACAACTGGAGTTTTATGTAATCACCGCATACCAATAAAGTTGTAGGGAACGTTCTATAAGACAGCTATGAGACCAGCTTTGCTTTATGATGCGGAATTTTGGGCGGTCAAGAAACAATATAACCATAGGATGAGTGTAGCTGAGATGAGTATGTTGAGATCGATGAGTACCAAGACAAGAAGGGATAGAATTCAAAATGAATACTTTGGGAGAATTTAGGTGCGACTCCAATAAACGATAAGATGAGAGAAAGTAGACTTAAGTGGGCTGGTCATGTACAGCGCAGATCCAGTACAACACCTATTAGGAGATGCAAATTAGTTCAAATGGAAGGCTTAAAAAGGGCAAGGGGTAGGCCCAAAAGGATATGGTTGAATGTAGTGAGAAAAGATATGGGGACTTATGGCCTCACTAACGGTATGTCCCTTGATAGAGCAGAATGGCGGATCTGGACTCATGTAGCCGACCGCAAATAGTTAAGGAAAGGCTATGATGATGATGATGATGATGATGATGATGTACTATTTTTTTTCAAAGACACATTTAAGTCCTATTCTTTTATCTTTATTGTTTCTTTTTAAGGAGAGGGCTTGTTGGAGCTCCCATGAAATCACCAGAGAAAAGGCAAACATGGGGTCCTATGACTCTCATGCCCATCCAAATAATAATTGAGGCTCAGGGAAGCAAGCTCCCCATTCCCAATTTTACTATGCCGGCCAACATGTGGCTAGTTCCCAATCTCAAAAACATGGGTAAATATGACCAACATCCTCCATTACCTTTTCTATGAGATGTAGAATAGATAGCCAACTCAATAAAAATGAGAAGGGACTGTCAACTTTGTTATAAAATTTAAGAAGTATAAAGATTACATTTTTTAATATAAGGGAGAACACATCTTGCAGATGAAGGTAACAAGCTCCAGAAATGAACGAGCACATTCCATAGAGAAGGGGATTGGTTTCCATAGGCCATTCTACTCTTGGACAATGGAAACACAACCCCAAAATGAGAATGATCATATCTGAGAGTTCCCTAAAACTAAGATCAAAAAGGCATTCTACAAGAAGTAACTTCAGAGCTTCCAACGATCACAAACAACCATGAAATCAAAATTGCCATCCTCAACAACTATTGAACATCCGTTTCTTTCGTTAGAAAATCTATTATCTTAAAACAGGATTAAGGACCACCACAAAGGAATTTGTAGGTTGTCACTAACCCATACAGAACTGCATATGGATCATTTGCAGTTTACCACTCCCAGATTTCCTAAATGAGATCGACCTTCCATTCCTTCAAACTCGCCACTGCAAGCACTAATTCCAGCAAGCTCCAAATCCTAGTCGTCAGGGCATATATCCTGGTGAAGGATAGTCGCTTCATGATCAAAAGGCATCTATGTTGAACTTTGTGTCCACTACTAATTTAGTTAAAAAGGTCACAACATGTCAACCACCCATGACATGGAAGGCCCAAAGTACCAAACATAACTTTTGATTCTAAAGTAATGTTCAAAAGGAGATTTAGTAATGCTTATGCTAAGCTTTAGTAATGCTTATGCTAAGCACATCATGCTGAAAAGGAAAAGACCCACTAATAAAACCACTCAGACATTTTCCCTTAGAAATAAAAGAAAAAATAACAAAGAAGCAAACCACTTTGAAATGTCCTCATAGTTCACCCCTACTCCAATTACAATCAAACAAGAGCAGGCAATCTAGGGAAACACTTTGAAGGAGACATACCTCAGCAACTCCCACTAGGCATAGTAACAAAGCATGTCAACATTAGGATGCTTTAGGATGGAGGATTGGCGTTTGTTTGTTCAATAGTATTTAGTGACCAGAAAGGAGAGACGCATATGCCAGTAAACATTCAGATGCATTCAAAATTGCAGATCTCCCCGTGTTTCACAGGTGTAACTAGAAGTATCTATGATCACAGGATTTCTGCACATCATGTTGCTTTGGGATCCCCCTCTTTGTTTCCCAATTCTTATAGGAACGAGAAGTCCTATGTTCAGCTTCAAACAAATGGGGAGCAAGAACATCTTTAATGGTAGCAATTGCATTTCGTAAGTATCTACACATGAATGGAGGAACTAATTGGCAAAAGTTGGTACTGCCATTGAAGGACCATAGAGATAAGCCATGATAAAACAATAATAGAGCATTCTTATGATAGAAGTAATTATGAAATACCATAGATAGATGGATGTAAAAAAATTAAAGTAGGTCAGTAATGACGTCTTACACTGAAGAGCATATAATGCCTTTGAAAATTTTCGAAGTATTGCAATCTTTTGCTCCCTAGGAAACTCAACTCCACTGGAGCCAAAATTAATAGATAGATCAAGGTCACTGCTCAAAGTAAACATATTCATAACATAAGAACCCAAGGCCTCAACATTGGCAATATGACTGCCATAACCACTACCTGAAATGAAGAAACATGAAAGCGTAGTAAGGTTTAGTCATTCCAATTAAATGAGCATCAAAATCTTCTTAAGAACAGAAGAAGTAACAGGAATAAACACACATGGGAAAAGGACAACTAAAGTTCAACACACACACACGCACACACATGGGCGCACACATACACACACATTGCATTATCAGATTCAAGTTGGCCAGGGCATGTTTTAGATTACGTTTGGTTGTTATTTCTGTATTTAAAGTTGTTATTTCCATAACTTTTGGTTATGGAGTGGTCATTTATAAATTTGATTATATCCTCATCAAGAGAGTTGTTAGAATATATACATGTTAAATATTCCCAATAATGCCATTACTTTTTCTAAGGTATGCCCTTGCATTTTCTTATGTATTTGCATTTTCTTGTGTATTTTACTGGTTTAAATTGTTCAATGCTTTAATTATTTAGATTTATAAAGGTACTATAGGAATAATATATTAAGCGCATTGAGCAAAAATTTAATAGAAAGATTTAACTATTGATGTGCATGAATGGATGCTCATTTTAGATTTATCGTTCTAAAAGATGGATCCTTCCAAAAGATTTCCCTTTTTAGATCTTTCACTCTCTCAATGCCCTGCATCAGAGAGAGTGCCCTATTCATACATCACTTTCCAATTGTTTTCTTTATAATGGTGACTATATAGAAATATTTATAAATATTAAATAGTTAAAAAAAGTGCTCATGAGAAGTGAGAGAAGCAGCCCACAGACCAGGTGCTCCAGTGCAAAAGAATATTTTTGTACAAAAACAAAGTTTGATAGAACCAATAAAGAAGATATTAGTGGTGAATGTATGCTTTGACAAAAAAGAACAAAGTTAGACACAAAGAGTGGGGGAGGCAAGGAACGAAAGAAAGAAAGAGGAGATAAAGATGATCAGCAATGGAGGGAGGGAGAATCAGAGGAGTAGAACTAACAAGGGGGAGGGAAGAGAGAGAAAAGGTGTTGGAGAGGGACATCCCACAAGTCCAGAGCTCAGAGTAAGGTAAAAGGCAACCCATAAACCCAGTGCTAAGAGTGAATAGGGATGGTGGAAGCCTGCAATATCACTTCCCATGTTTAATTTGTTAGATATTAATGTGACCCTGCTTTGAGAAGAAAGAGATATGGAAGAGCTATATATCATTTTGCTAGGGATTATCTATTCCACAGGTTCTCAGAAAAACGTCCTTCTAGTTTGATGTACCTAAGTAAGGTCTCCTGATTTACTTTTAATTTCTCACAATATCTCTTTCTTAATTAATAGGCTCAACCAATTACACATTGAAAATGGTAGTTGGGGCTCTCTTAAACCTCTCACTTTCTTTCCATAAAATTTATTTATAAAAAAAACATATATCCCATTCTATAGTCCTGTAATCCATAAGCATCCCTCATTTTCTAATCCGTAAGCCCCCTTCCCTCATTCTGTAATACATAAGCCTCCTTCCCTCCCTCCCTCTTTTTCTCCATTTTCATCAACAAATAGTAAATAAATTATCTTGTTCAGTACATAATATCCCAGTAGATAGAGCAAAATAATCTCAGTGTCTACATCCTGTGCATCACACAGGGTAGAATGTTAGTGTGTTTGTGCGTAAGTGCGCTTGGGAGCGTGCAATTACAGTGTTTGCATGTGTATTATAATTCGTTAACTTACTTCATTGAGTACGATGTGTATGGACAAGTATATTGTATACAAAATTGAGTACATCCTAGATCAAGCCCCAAGAACATAAAACGCATTAATAACAATTCACATGATGCATACATGAAGTCATAGTAACAATGTTTAATAACTCAACAACAACCCATAGTTAGAGCACCAAAAAAAATTCCAAAATCACGGGGTAAGTGTAATATTGACAAATTTGCTATGAATCAAACTCATAACTTTCTTTCTCTTTATTTCTCCTTTCCAGGCCAGATAATAATAGAAGTCAGAACTCAGAAAATGCTCTAAAGGCATGTTTAGATGGCATGTAAATAGTTGATAGTGCGAGTTGCCGGGCCCACAAAATTAGGTGGTTATGGGTTGTTATCAACAACCTGCGATTAAGCATATGGGCAAATCCATAGAAAAGGTGATCTGGTCTTGTGCCAAGTAGAACAGCTTGGTGCGACAAGTGATACACTGCACCCAAAAACATCATAAGTGGCTTATCTCGCGCAAAACAATACATTAGGAAGCTCCCCATGTGTTGGGAAATCAAATCCCTTTCCCACATATGTGAGAGTTGGATAGATACAGTGAACCAAACAGAAACTATACAAATGTAATGAAAAAAAATAAAAATGAGAACACGTTGACTTTTACATGGAAACTCTTCAAGACAAGGGAAAAACCCACAGGCCAAACATTGATCATCCCCTACAAAAATAATAGGTTTACAAAGCACTTCTCTTCTCAAACTGACTAGGATGTAGGCCGAGGAATCCAAAGATAACAGTGTGGCAATATGGATGTTTAAGAATAGCTCACATGTCTATGGAAGTATCAATCTTTTGTTCTTTCTCACCTCCAAGAAAATATAGCAAGTTACAATAAGATCTTAGACTAAAAGTGTGAAGGTCAGCTCAATGGATATAATTGGATTATATAGAAACTCAAGGAGGATCCTTTTCATCAAACACAATAGGCCACCATGATAAAAGAAATTAAAAAGCCAAAAGATATGCTGCATGAAGAACGACATAAGTTGGACATAGAAGCAATTGGAAATATTTGGCAGGTGTTGGATGACATTGTCTTCAATGGGGTATCAAATCAAACTTCGCACAATCATTTTTTAACAGATTGCACGACTTGAACAAAAGAATGATGGTTGGAAATAAAGCATTCTTGATTAAAAAGTTGGCAAACAAGAAGTTTAAGGAGGGAAGCTTAGTTACATAGCAATGAGACATATTTATTAAGCATTCACTAAAGAACAACTTAGATACTTGAAGGGCAAGCTGTCCATGATCAGGACTGAAGTACAGCTTGAGGGGAAGTATTAAGAAAGCCATTTTAACCCCTAGAGGGTATATATGTAATTTTGTATATCCTTACGGGTAATCTTGTAATTTCTGCAATTCTGTAATATCTGTAAATGTAATAGGGGTATAACTTGAGGTTCACTTAAGGCCTAAAGTGTGTAACTCCTATATAGTGAAATGTTATGAGTGTCTCCGCATTGGGACATCTTCCCCATTTCTTGTGTTCTCCAAAAGCCTGTGTAGGCTGAGCTGTTTTCTTCTATTATTACCAAGTACAAAAGTGTAAAAAAGCAAAGATCAAAGATCTTTTCAGCACAATCATACTCAATCAAGATATCCTACAATCTCTCCTTTTTCTTTACCTCTTATGTCTCTCTTTATTATCCCTACTTGCCCTCTTTCTTCAAAACCCCACCAATCTGTGTTGCTAATCTTCCTTCTTGATATTTTCTCTCCATCTAAATCCTAACCAGAAAACCCTAATCAATCTGCCTAAACCCTAATAGCTACTCTTCTTAACGTTCTCTCCATTCTTTATCCTTCTCCTTTCGTCTTTACTTTCAATCTTCAAGTAACTCCTTATCCAAACCTTAATCCACACTCTATTTCTTAGTGAGATTGACTTTTGTAAGTCGATCTGCCCCACAAGAAGGTCCCCTTTTCCAATTGAATTACCAACCCCCGGGGGGGTTGGGGGGGGGCATTATTGGAGTTTAAGAAAAAATTTATGCAAAAACAAATAGAAGAGAAAGAAGAAAGACTACCTCTATTTTCCTTCAAATGTTATATATATATACCCATCTCATTGCAGCACCGTCCTCCCAATAGACTTCTTCCTCTAATGCAACCTTTCTCTCCTACAGTCCTGCCATATATGATAAGCATTAAATTTGACTCCTCCATTTCCTCCTATGGAATAGTCCCTTTTTTTAGTGGTTTAAAAGCTATGGAATATCTTGATCTGTCTGATGGCAAACCTCCAGAATTTACAGAAGTAATACCAGGTAAAGAAGAAATAGGAGAGATAATGTGTGTCTCAAGCCCAGCACACATGTAGTGGCATGCAGTTGAACAAGAACCCATAAATTGCTTGAAAGCCACCCTTACACCAGAAGTTTTGGCACAAGTATTTGGCATTTCAACTGCCAAGGAGGTTTGAGACACTTTTCATTACTCTACTCCAAGTTTCTAAGTCAAAGTGAAGCATCTATGAGAAGAACAATTGAAATACAGAAAAGTTAACTCCAGCATTAGCCAGTGTTTCACTAAAGTAAAAGGCATTTGTGACATGCTCGCAGCCATTGGCCAAACAGTTTGAGATGACATGGTATCAAACCCACTTGAAGGATAGAGAGATGAATAATGTGTTTGTGACAACAATTTCGGCCAAGCCACCAATCCCTTCCTTTTATGAGCTAGACCTCTTCTATTACAAACGAAGTTATGTTTAGAAAGAGCGGAAGCAGGAGTAGAGCTAAAAATGACAGCAATGGTCACATGAATAATTTTGTTAATTTACAATGGAGATCACATAGAAACACAACGAGCATTCATGTAATTCATCATCATCATAATCACTTAAGTAATTCATTTTTTCTTTTTTTGAGTTAGTGGGGGAGAAGGTCCCCCTACCCAATTTAATTTCATTCACTAAGAAAAAACACAATCTTATCAAATTACAACTGTTTCATAGGGCACTCATAAACATAGGGCACTCATTCTTCATGATAAGAAATTGGTGAAGTAAAAAAATCTGAGGGCTGAGCCCTCCAAACTGTAGCAACATATATGGAGGTGCTGTGTTTGCAGGTGTATAAGCAAAACCATATTCGACTTGCAGAAGATGTGTGAAATCGACCAAGAAGAGCCACTCAAAGCGAGTTTGTACCGATAGTTGGCAGCAATGGTATATAGAGTCCAAAGCGGCATGTGGTGGCCCTGGACAGAATGAGCAGTGGAAAGCAATGCAATTGGATGGCCATATCGATACCAACCTCTAA